CTATTCCATTGCTTTTCCCAAGTGATTGTTTTACTTGAATGTTAATTTGGAAGATACTTACGCTAGAAAGGCTTAGTTCTCATAAGGAATCTTAGCAGGATCCAAGGCTTAAAAACCTCGTTGGGGGCTGGAGAGATGGCTGTCAGTCAAATACACACAGGAAGATTTTAGTTAGATCCCCAGTGCCCACTTAAAAATCCGGGCATGACTATGTATACTTGTAATGGGGACAGGGACAGGGAGCTGGGGCTCTCTGACCAGCAAGCCTAGTTCAGTCAGGGAGCCCTGGGTGCAGTGATGAATCCTATGTTGAAAAGCAATGTACATAGCACCTGAGGTGGAACACAAGCCTCCTCGCTACACACATGCACATACATAAACATGTGCACTGACATGCACTGCTCATCTGCGTGCGCGCGCGCACACACACACATTCTTGTTGAGAGGCGCTGGTCAGGTAAGGTGCATGCCCTAATCAGGAGTACCGTCATCAGTGTGACGTTCTCTGGTAGAAAAGGGGCAGTGACAGAGAGGTGTGATGTGCAGAGCATTGTGTCATTCCACTGGAGGGGATGGACAGGGTGGCAGATAGTAAGCAGTAAAAGACAGACAGACAGACAGACAGACATCCCTGTGCAGACTGGAGCAGAAGACTGTCTGAAAACCTAGTTAGTTTTCCAGGCAGAGATGGCCCGTTATAAAACTTTTTTTAAAAAATTGCTTCACAGAAAGTTGAAACAACCAAGACTCTTCACCCTACCTAGGTGGTGGAGGCGCACGCCTTTAATCCCAGCACTTGGGAGGCAGAGGCAGGCAGACCTCTGTGGTATCGAGTCCAGCCTGGTCTACAGGAGCTAGCTCCAGGACAGGTCCCAGGTCCCAAAGCCACAGAGAAACCCTGTCTCAAACAAACAAACAAACAAAACAACAACAAACAAACAAACAAACAAACAACCCTCTTCACCCTGCAGAGTTTAAGGCGAGTAGCTGAAATTTCTGGAAACCACAGGAGAACGTCAACACTTTAGGAAATGTTGTTCAGTGAGGTGCATTCTTCCATGGAACCTGCAATGGAACAGGGGGTGGGGGGAGAGGATGCTGCATTGAACTAAGGATCGGTACATGAAGCTAGTAATGGAGGAGCTGGCGTTTGAGACCCGGCTGGCTTTGAAGTCTGGATGCTTCTCCCTACACCAGGTCCCCGGGGCTGTGTATGGAATCGCTGCCGGCTGCCCTGCTCACTGCTTAGAAGCTGAGCGAGTGACTCGGCTTTGCGGGACTGGCATTTGCCACCTCTTCTCCTTGTGTTTTTCACCCAGTTGCTTTCGTTGTCCCGAATGCAGCCTTGGACTAGGGGGCTGGCTCCTCGCCTCGGCTGTACATTGATTGCCTGTCTCATCCACCTGCTGAAGCCTTCCCCAGTGATTCGGGGTTTGGGGTTTGCAGAGCTCTCCTGGGACACTGTCCCTTCCTGCCTCTGCCAATCTGCCTTCTCCTCTGGGTCCTCGTGCCAGTCAATTTCAGCACTTCCTCGCCTTGCATCAGGACAGCTAGCTTCCTCTCTGCCGCCTGCCAATCCCTGGAGTCAGGATGGAGGTGGCTCCACCAGTCCCCGGGGCCAAGGTTCTGTGGACAGAGTTGGGGACCAGCCAAGGAGAGCTGAATGCACTTGGTCCCTTGATGCCTGAGATGAATCTGGGCCACTGGGAGTTCACTTGGGGACCTCACTGTCCCCAAGTTAACTTGTTTGAGAAACCTTGGCTTGGCGTAGAATAAAATCCATCAGCAACATCTTCCTTGTGGTCCCTGTCACCTGTCACTTGGAGAGAATGAGAGAACTGAAATTGGTGCCAGTGCTCTAGCAATACTGGCTCCTCTTAGCCCTGGGACAGGAGGTGTGTGTGGGGGGGGAGGGGGGGCGTGAGTGATGAGTTGAGGACATGCTGGTCTATGTGATAGTTTTTGTTTTCTGAAGCATAGGTGTTTTGGTTTCCATTTTGTTACCCTTAGTACCGCTAGATCCAGAGTCTCCGCAGTGCAGGCCCCGTGGCACGTGTCAGTTCACCTGGACACATCCCGAGACAAGTCCTGGATGTGCTCTGACAGCTTTGGCGTGGGCTCTGCTGCCGTCTTTTCCTGCCTGCCTTTTCAGGTACTTGGGGCTCACTGATTAGAAGCTGCTGCATCCTCCAGGCTGGTTTGGTGCAGAGGACAGGTTTAGTTTAGACTATTAAATTTGATTGGACTCCCTCTTTATTGTTATACACACTTAGTCATTAAAGATGAGTTTCGACAAACATCACGAGGCAGGTCGAATCTGTTTGGTAGCAGCATGAGTAATGAACGCTCTGCTGTGCCCCGTGAAACTCAGAAGGTGCCATGTCAACATGGTTCTGGGTGAAACGGTGTTAGTGAATCGAACATCTGTATTACGGAAATGCAGTCTGCAAGGAGACTGAACGGTTCTGTCGCTTCCCTTTGTTGAGCTGGGAAATCATCCCCGTGGCTGTAGAATGCCCCTGCAAGTTCTAGTAGCTGCCATTTTGGAAATTAATTGCACAGAATAAGCGAAGGCGAATGCCAGGAATTTAATTGGCTCTTCTCTCCCAGGTTGCTGCGTGAATTTTAGAGTCATTGTTAGAATTCACCCCTGATCTGAAGCTGACAGGCCGGGACAGAGGCTATTGGCTTTTAGAGGGGGAAGGGCAGGGTCTGAGACCGGCTTAAATGTCCGGCTTGTGCCTTGTAGCCCGGTCCTCCTGGATCTCTACTAATAGCAGATAGGGCAAGAGGGAGTGGCAGCTGACCCAGAGTGGGCCACAATGTTTATCCACAGTTGTAAACCTTACGTTAAATGTTCAAGTGACTTGGTTTTTGATTCCATTGTCCCCCAAGTCTTCATTTAGAAAGGGTTGTCAGGGAAGATGCATTTAAACATTCTGTGGCTTCCCAAACCCTTGGGATCAGGTACTCAGCTTAAGAAGTAGTGAAAAAGGTATCTAGTAAAAAGGCATAAAAGTTTGCAGAAAGCAAACAAAGGGACTTTTGTATGTGAGATGAAAGTGAAAAGGTAGAAGCCAGGGTGGGATTTGCCTTTTGAAAGTGACCCCTGAGCAGGGAAGGACTGGCGAGGAGGCAGGAATGGGCCAGGTGAGGGGCTCCTTTAGTCACCTGAGGCAGGAGGCTGAAGACAGAGCAGAAAGACATGGAACGAACAGCTCATTGATTGACAGGCAGGGGGCACATTCTGCCTGCCAACCTTATCCTGGGCATCTCAAACCAGTCCACCTTGGAGTTTCTTAGACCCCTGGGGCGATGTCTTTGGACAGCTCTGGTGAGGAATCTGGGGCTGTGTGAACAGGTGTCCGCATCCAGACTTGGTCCCAAGGATGTTGGGCAAATCAGCAGGGCGGTGGCACCGTTAAGGTGTGGCAAGGTAAGAGTGAGGAAGGAAAGGCATGCCCCTTACTTCTACCCCCGGATCATTGCTCCAGAGCCTTCTTCTTCCCAGACAGCCCTCCCCATGTGTTCCACCACCTTCTGACACGCATGCTGCAGCTCTGGCCTTTTACTGGATTTGTGGTCCAGAGTCCGGGGCTGAACCCTCTCTCTGCTCTTCCCAACCAGTGTCTTCAAGTCACCCTCCCTCTCAGAGCTGCGGTGTCCGCAGAATGATGCTGGTAATAGTTTCATTACGGGCCTGGAGGACATTCTAGTGAAAGCAGGCTGTGCTGAGCCTAGTGCCAAGCCAGGCATTGCTCAAGGCACAGGAGGTAAGTCTCTGCGCTCGGAGCTCAGGACCCATAGATAGCGTTCAGTCAGACAGTGTGTGGAGAGTAAAGGGCGGTGCAAGTGATTGGACATGGTTTTAAAGATTTATTATTTTAAAGAATCATGTGTCTGAGTGTTTCCTGCATTTGTGTCTGGGCGCCACATGTGCCCGGATCCTGCAGAGGGCAGAATAGGGCATCGGATTCTCTGGAACTGGGGCTATGGATGCTCTGAGCCACAGTGTAGGTGCTGTAAATTCTGAACCTAGGTCCTCTGAGTGAGTGCTCTTTTGGTTGGTTAGTTTGGTTTTGTTTTTAGAGACAGAGCTCTACGTTTTTCTCTGTCCGCTCCCTGTCTCTCCCCTCCCCCTCTTCAAACCTCTCCCATGGTCCTCATGCTCCTAATTTACTCAGGAGATCTTGTCTTTTTCTACTTCCCATGTAGATTAGATCCATGTATGTCTCTCTTAGGGTCCTCATTGTAGTCTAGGTTCTCTGGGACTGTGATTTGTAGGCTGGTTTTCTTTGCTTTATGTTTAAAAACCACTTATGGGTGAGCACATGTACACTGATGACAACTTATGCTGGAGAGGTTGTGGGGAAAAGGGAACACTCCTCCATTGCTGGTGGGAGTGCAAGCTGGTACAGCCCCTTTGGATGTCAGTGTGGTAATTTCTCAGAAAATTAGGAAACAACCTTCCTCAAGACCCAGCAATACCACTTTTGGGTATATATCCAAAGGATGGTCAATTGTGCCACAAGGACATGTACTCAACTATATTCATAGCAGCATAGTTTGTCATAGCCAGAACCTGGAAACAATCTAAATGCCCCTCGACTGAAGAACGGATAAGGAAAATGTGGTACATTTACACAATGGAGTACTACACAATAGAAAAAAAATATGATATCTTGAGACTTTCAGACAAGTGGACTGAGCTAGAAAACATCATTTTGAGGGAGGTAACCCAGACCCAGATTTGTGTTCTTATAGAATGCTGCAAACCTGATCCCAGGCTAGGTAGATAAGTCCGTGGTAAGACACTTGGATAGTACGTGCAGGGCCTGGGGTTCTCTCCCCAACATCGTAAAACAACCCAAATGATAAAAATGTCATCGGATTCAGCCACAGAGCACTCAATCTGTCGGCCCATGCTATTGGGAGTACCACCTCAGACCTCCGGTGTGTACCTTGTGTGACTCATGCCTTTCTCTTGGTTCTCCCTTCAGTTGTGGCTGTTTATTTGAAAGACTTCTGGTGGTCCATTGAAGACGTCCTAAGAACTTCTGATCCCACAAGGGAAGGGCTCATGAAGGTGAGGGCATGTGATGTTAAATGAACATTTGCAAAACAGGTTTTTGAGGTCTTTTTACGGGGGGCCTGTGTTAAGAAATTAAGGCTTGTTAGCAAGTGCATTTAAATCAGGGAGCCATTTCTTAACCCCCAACTGTTTGGAAGAACAGGTTCCTCTGTGTCCACATTGTCTCTCTCCATGTATTCGTTCCGTGGGCTGCCCTGTGGGCACCAAGTCTGTTTTGTCTCTGGACTCTGAAGACTAGAGTTCTGAGGTCAAGGAGGACGTCTTTTGTGTACTGGGGGAATCTGTTGGCTCTATCCCCACTTTGGGTTGCTCTAGCAATTCCTTGGCCTGAAGATGGCCATGTTCATGTGTCTCCATATCACCTTCTTTGGAAGCATTGTCAGCCTGTGTTGAGAGTCCCCCCTTTTGCTGAGACATCCTTTGTGTTGAATTTTGGGGAGCATAATGTACCATCATAGCCCAATCACCTATAAAAACTCATTCTAAACAAGTTCTCATTTACGGGTTCTGGTGGGACTTTCAGCATCTTTTGACAGGCATCCTGCTAGCATCTTTTTGTTAGCATCCTGCCAGCAAGGAAGAGGAACACGTGACCGTTCACCAGATATCTGACTTCTGTCCAGTCTGCTCCACCATCTCGAGTGTCTCTTAGGCTTCAGTTTGTAAACTTTAATCTGCCCCATTTCTCTGCTGTGCTGAGAAGTTTTTCTGTTGAGTACAATTAGGTCACGGTTATTGCTACAAGATTTAGAAGCGAATTGGTCTGCTTGCATATTTATTACCCCAGCTTCTTTATGGGGCTGGTCTAATTTCAGAATCTTTTGAGCTCCTTGTTGTGTCCTTGGTGGCACAGACTTGAGTTACACAGCCCGTGAGGGATTATTTGGGTGTAGACTTCGGTGTCTTTAATGTCAGGCCTAGAGCCTCTGAAGGGTTGTGGTGTTGGTGAGCAGTCGAGCAGTCGTAAAGTAGGGGCCTGGGATGGGGATGGTGAAGGCGGCAGCAGCAAGCAGCTTCTCAGAGTGAGAGAGAATCGCTGGACTTCAGCTGGAGCGGGTTAAGGAGGGAGGCAGTGATCAGCCGAGAGAGACGCTGTGTGCCGCATAGCTGTCTGTTCATCTGGCTGCCGGATTTATTTTAATTCTGTAGGTGAGAGGAAGATAGCATTTCTGTATCATCCCGAAAGGGCGTGTCTTTCCATGACTGTCTAGAAAACCACTTGCTTCTCTCTGTGGGGTTCGGTAGATGCCGGATGAAATGTCAGCACAGCATTTGTTCACACTCAGTTTGGAGAATGAGTTTCTAATGGAGTTTCTTCTACTGAACAATTCAAACAGTGAGTCCTAGGGCTGAGCAGATGGGCTCGCCGAGTAAGAACCCCTGTTCTGCAAGTGTAAGGGCCCGAGTTGGAATCCCCAGCGCCCATTCAGAAAGGCAGGCATGGCTGAGTGTACCCCGACTGTGAGGGGAGGAGACAGGTGGACCCTGAGAGCTCCCTTCCGCTTTAGTGAGACTGTCCCAAGACAATAAGGGTGACAGAGGAAGACACTCAAGGCCTGCCGTGGCCTCTGTATGAGTTTCCACATTCAAAAAAACACTCAAGGACATGCATCATACAAATGCACCAACACACACAGGTTGACAATTGAAAACTAAGTCCTGTTTTAAGTTTCATCGACGTGTAATTTGCATATCGTAAATTTACTCTAAAAATGTACAATTCCGTGATGTTTAATAGACTTAAACCCACCCCTCCACAGCAGTTTCATTATCCTAACCCTGTTTTTGCTGACGGACAGCCTGGCATAAGGATAGACTACATTTTATTATCCATTTGTCAGCTGATGGACATTGAGGAGGGCCCACGTCTTAGCTGTCATGAGTCTTTTTGGGTAACTGTTGATGAGGACGTGGACTCTGAATTTTCTTGTGTACATGCCTAGAAGCATAACTGCTGTCACACGGGGTCTCTCTCATATTTTGAGGACCTGCCATGCTGTCCTCCACAGTTCCTGCACCAGCTGACTTTCCCCCAACTGTGGTGGTTTGAATGGGAAGTGTCCTTCCCATAGGCTCGGATATTGGGACACTTGATCCCCAGTTAGTTGCACCACCTGGGGAGTTAGTTATGGAACCTTTAGGAAATGGAGCCTTGCTGGAGGGAATAGATCACTGGGGGAGGGCTTTGAGGTTGTAGAGTATTGTCCTACATCCTGTTCTCTCTCTCTGTCTCTCTCTCTCCTTCCTGTCTTTCCCACCATGATGGACCCTGTCCCTATGGAATCTTAGCCAAAATAATCCTTTTCTTCTTTAAGCTACTTCCCGTAATGGTGTTTTATGATAGCAAGAGACAAGTAGCTTGTTCACCATCCTGTAGGTGTGAAGTGGTACCCCAGAGATGTGTTGATGTACGTTCCCTGATAGCCAAGGATACTGAGCATCTTTTCTTGCTTTTACTGGCCATTGTCTGTTCTTTCTCTCTGGGAGAAAGCCCATTGCAATCCTTCCTTAGCCCACTTTTTATTGGAATATTTGAATTTTTATTGCTAAATTGTAAGAGTTTCCTACACATTCTTTGTGCAAGTCTTTTATCACGTATCTGTTTTAAAAGAACTATCATGCTGGTTGGTGGTGGCACACACCTTTAATCCCAGCACTCAGGAAGCAGAGACAGGTGGATCTTTGTGAGTTTGAAGCTAGCCTGGTCTACAACAGCTAGCTCCAGGACAGGCTCCAAAGCTACAGAGAAACCCTGTTGGTGCGGGAGAATTGTCTGTATTCTGTCAATCATGTTTTAAATAAACGCTGATTGGCCAGGCAGGAAGTATAGGTGGGTCAACCAGACAGGAAGTAGAGGCGGGGCAATGAGAACAAGAAAATTTCAGGAAGGAGGAAGCCCACATCACCTAAAAAGCAGGATGTAATCTACCCCATAGAAAAAGGTACTGAGCCATGTGGCTAACATATACTAGAATAATGAGCTAATATAAGTTATAAGAGCTAATACGAAGCCTGAGCTAATGGGCCAATCAGTTTATAAGTTATGGAGACCTCTGTGTGATTTACTTTGGGGCTAAACGGCTGTGGGAACTGGGCAGGACAGGAACCCCAAAGCTGGTCCACATGCTACACCCTGTCTCAAAAAAATCCAAACAAGGGGGCTGGAGAGATGGCTCAGTGGTTAAGAGCATTGCCTGCTCTTCCAAAGGTCCTGAGTTCAATTCCCGGCAACCACATGGTGGCTCACGGCCATCTGGAATGAGGTCTGGTGCCCTCTTCTGATCTGCAGACATACACACAGACAGAATATTGTATACATAATAAATAAATAAATATTAAAAAAAATCCAAACAAGAGCCGGGCGGTGGTGGCGCATACCTTTAATCCCAGCACTCGGGAGGCAGAGGCAGGCGGATCTCTGTGAGTTCGAGACCAGCTTGGTCTACAGAGCTAGTTCCAGGACAGGCTCCAAAGCCACAGAGAAACCCTGTCTCGAAAAACAAAAAAAAAACAAAACAAAAAACCAAACAAACAAGTAAATAAAAGAACTATCACATATTTGCTATAAAAACTTACATGACTTTTCCCATTCTGTGAGCTGCCTATTTAAAAACACTAAATCTGGATTCAGTGGTCTTGATAGATGTCATTATAGATGTTGTGCCAAGGTTTTCTTCGAAAAAAAAAAAATCAATGCTACCCTGAGATCCAGCTGAGGACCATAATGTAGCGGTGTGTGCTGTTGTCCCAGCCCCTTTGTCACAGGTGGACTCAGTGGGTAACTGATGCTAAGAAGACTCTAATTTGCTCCTTGTAATGCTCCAGAATGGGAGTCCTTGCTTTTCTTGCCTCCCATCTCTTCCAAGTTTAGACTGGGAGCCCACCTCCAATTTTCCGAGAGTGTCCTCTTATGTGTATGTTTATATTCTGAAGAGAAAGAACCTAACAAACCACATTGGGATGTTCTACACCTCCCATGTCTCCGCCCATGTTCCCCTCCTGTCCTCCCACTTCCATATATGGGTATTTCCTTCTGTTCTTTCTAAGACTTACTCTGTACTTTTTAAAACCAGGTTTTGTTTCTTAGCCACTTATTTTTTCACACATTCCTAGAAAAATCCCCTTTAATGCTCTCTCTGTTAACACGATTAGTGGCCCCAGTGATGGCTTAGAAATGGATCTTAGTTTTATGTTTTCAGAAATGCTTCTAAGTCAAAATGGCATGTCACACAGTTTTTTTTCTTCCCGTAATGGAATTGGACAAATTTAGCACACTCCCTATCCCCCTTTTTCTCTTGCCAGCGTTTGATTGGGTGTTTCCCTTCTGCCGCACGCAGTCTGGCTTCCCTCCGGTGCCATTGATTGAAAATTACTGCCTCCCAGATGATACCCATTAGCTCTCGAGGTCAGCTAGTTCTTAAAGCTGAGCTTCACATCTGGCCGCCGCTGTCCGAGAGAGAAAGTGAATTGGTTAGATCCACACATGTCTCTTATATTCTTTTATATTTTTATATCCTTTATATTCTGCACCTGCAAGGATGTGTGTGGACACTGGATACTTGGCTGGATGCTAGGACCTTATTAAAAGCAGACAAGTGGGCCAGTGAGGTAGCTCAGTGGGTGAAAGGGCTTGGCACAAACTTGACAATCTAAGCTTGAGTCTCCCAACTCTTGTTGAGGTGGAAGGAGAGAACTGACTCTACAGAGTTGTCCTGTGACCTCCACATGCATATCATGTGTCTACGTGTGTATATCATGTGCTAACATGCATGTGTATGTGCATGTGTGTGCGTATGTGTGTGTGTGAGACAGAGAGAGAGAGAGCCCATGCACACACAACAAAGCAACAGACAAGTGTTTTAGGGCTCACTCAAGGACATTATCTCCTGAACTGAATCTCAAAGAAGTATGAATGGCTGAGATCTCTCAGGAAATGCAGGCTGAGATCCTCTCCCACAAGTACAAATGACAGCAATGATGTTGGGGAGGACAGTATTTTGGGGATCTGGTATTAAATCTAGAACTAGGAGGCTGGGTAGATGATTTATTTGGCACGAGGACCAGGATTCAATCCCCAGAGCCCACATAAATAAGTTGGCACATGCTTATAATCCTTGAACTCGGAAATATAATAGAACCCTCCTGCCCATAGCAGAGTCGTCCCTGTGGTCAAAGTTGGGGCCACCAATTTGAGAGCTTTCTCTTACAACGGCCAAAATGACATCCTATTCCTACCTGTGACTCTGAAAGGGTGAATGTGTGAATGAAATCAGGGTCTCTCTTCTGGACTCATGGGAACTCAGAGAGGCTCATCGGCCAGCCGGCCTCGTCTGTTTGGTGCGTTCACCACACACACACACACACACACAAACAATCATATACACCATATACACTCACCCCCATATGAACAGTAACATAAAACATAAATAAGTAAAATTGTCTGTAAGACCATGCATTGATGATTTCAATGAAGGCCCCCATTCCCAAAGTCTCAGGTCTGGTGGACGGAGAGGCGGAAGGGAATTAACTTCTGTCTGGGCTTGGGCAGGTGTGCTGTTGCGATGCAGGAGCCCTGGCCTGTTCCTTCAGCCTGTTTCTGAGCTGGCTCTAGTGCGGCTGTCTGAGTTGTCTCTGGAATGAGACAGTAAAACTGATGCCTGTACCCACTTAACCTCTTTGAGCTTCAGTATCTGCACCTGTAAGCCAGGCCCTTCCCCAGCAGATGAGCCCCAAGTGACAGCTCCGGGGGTGGGCGGATCATGGTGGCAATGTGGATCCATGCACACACACATGCCCACACATGTGCCACTCCGGCTGTCACATAGCAAAGTTGTAGGCTGAAACCCAGTGCTCTAATACAGTCATTGTGTGAACAGCTGGCTGCGTTCATCCTCCACCCCGGATTGTATCAGTTGCCGGTGCTGCCTAGATGGATGTTTGTAGGATGAAATAGATCACAGCCTGGCTGTGTAGCCGGCCGTGGTCAAGTAGCCGCATCTCCTATGAGTCTAGAAGAGAGACCCTGATTTCATTCACACATTCACCCTTTCAGAGTCACAGGTAGGAATAGGATGTCATTTTGGCCGTGTAAGAGAAAGCTCTCAAATTGGTGGCCCCAACTTTGACCACAGTGACGACTCTGCTATGGGCAGGAGGGTTCTAGTATATTTCCGAGTGATCCCTGAGTCCTAGTGATGCCCTGGGGTCGAGACTCCAGCTTGTGCTTGAAGTCTGTCGTAAGTTTTGAAAGTCAGTGATTTTTGCTTTGGCAGCTGATCCCTGGGGCAGAGATGTCCTTGCTGTATAAATGGCAGATTCAGGCCACAGCTGGTCATCTCTTGGAATGGCTGACCTGGCCTCCCTAGAGGCAATTTTCTGTTCTGTTACCCTCAAAGGGTCCCACTTTGTGGACTTACAGCCCATGTCTGTGGACCCGAGACTTTTCTGGCACGGTTACTCTGTACTGCGCTGTGATGATTCAGTGGTATTGAGACCCCACAATTCATGCCCTGATCAAGAGCATTCTGCTACACCTGGCCCTGCCGCGAACTGCCTTTCCTGTCTGGCCTCACTTGGTGGTGGTTGTTCTTTCTTTTTCCTTTTAAGGTTCAGTCCTTCGGGGAAAGGATTGTACTTTTTGTTCTCAACACCATTGTTTTTGGAAGACTGGAGAGAAGTCTGGATGATGATGACATGTTTTTCTTACCTCACCCGGCGAAGGAGCAAGCTAAGATTCTGTGGAGAGATGGAGCGGCCGTTGGATTTTATTCAATCAAAATGAAAGGTGAGGGATGTGTGGTCTTTGGGATACAGGGTGGGGTGGGACACCTTGAAGGTCTGATCATCTCTGCAGAACCCCTCAGCATGAATATTCTGTGGATTCTTCTGGCTTAAAAAGCACAGCCAATTAATTAAACTTCTGTGTAAAGAAGCCCAAAGCATGGGTTTCATTTTTACGGTTCTGTAAGCCTTCTCCTTGGTTCCCAGGAAGAGCCGTGTGGCCCTATGACAGTGAACAGTATACGTGCCTGAAGCCAAATGCTTTTCCTTGTCCTTAATGCTAACAGTTTGCTGTCAGGAAAATGCTATTGCTAACAGCTGACGCGTGTTCAGGAAGTGGCCTAGATGCCAAGACTTACAGACATTACCTCAGAAGACAAGACAGGGAATTGGCCATGGGAACAAGGTTAGATTAGACACCAGCAACTTCTAGGGACCTTGGCAAGCAGTAGGTGTTCAGCCATTGGGATGAAGGTGTCTGTCCTTTCAGGTAGCTGTTTTTTTTTTTTTTTTTTTAAATAGTTTCTTCAGCCTCTAAAGGTTGTCACCATCTGACCCAATTGGTTCCACCATTGCCTCCACTTGCTTCTTATAAAGTTACTCATTTTAAGAATTGTTTTAAAAAAAATGACATGCATTTACTTGGCAGCAGTGGGGTGGGTGGCATAGGTGAGGAGGTCAGAGGTCAACTTGTGAGTCTATTCTCTCCTCCCACTGTATGGGTTGTGTGGATCAAACTCATATTATGGGGCCTGGTTGGGAAAACTCTGAGCATGCTCACTGGCAAGAAAATGACCAATTTTAGCAACAATTAAATTTCCCAGGAAACCCTCGTGGATGTGCTATTTTTGGAAGTAAGTGTTGTTCTTGAGAGATAAAGAGGCTGATTTTTGTTTTGAACTATGTTCACATGGTATGTGTCTATGAGCGTGTGTGTGTGTGTGTGTGTGTGCTACTTGATTGGGATGGAATGGAGTCTTTTCCTTGCTCCTTCCCTAGCTGCCTCCCCTCTTTCTTCTGTCATGTGATCAGGTTCTCATGTTTTGTCTGTTTGTTAAATGTCTGCTGAGGTCAATTGTAGGAGCTTTGGCACATGACTGCTTCATGACGACCACTGGCCCTCTTATTATAACATGTCTTTATACCTTTTCAAGTTCCTATATTCCTGATTTATTAACTTTACATAGAGTAATGGGCCCGAAGAATAATTAAGATAAAAGGGAAATATTTATAATTCATCGTTCATGAAACATATTGTTGTCTTCACAGTTCTGCAAGAGAATCATGTGTAGCCTGAGTGACTGTCCTTGTAGATCTTTGGGAGTCGGGGGTCTCCTGACAGAGCCAGGTCATACATAGAGTTTTGGTTAGAGACTGACTGGCGAATAAAATGTTGGCTTAGAGGAGCTTGTTTTTATTGGATGAGGAATTCAGATTGGTGAATTTCCGTAAAGCCTCGATTATCCTGATTGTTTCTCCCTTCTGATCTTGGCTTATGTAACAGGTTTCTTTTTTAAAAGTTGCATAGAGGCCGGGCGATGGTGGCGCATGCCTTTAATCCCAGCACTTGGGCAGCAGAGGCAGGCGGATCTCTGTGAGTTCGAGACCAGCCTGGTCTACAGAGCTAGTTCCAGGACAGGCTCCAAAGCCACAGAGAAACCCTGTCTCGAAAAACCAAAAAAAAAAAAAAGTTGCATAGAAAACTCACACAGTCAAATAGCGTGGGCTCACGGGGGCTCCCAGAGACTGAACTGACACCCAGGGAGCCTGCATGGGACTGACCTTGGCACTCTACATATATGTTACACTTATGTAGCTTGGTCCTCTTGTGGGACCCCTAACAGTGGAAACAGGAGTTGTCTCCAACTCATTTCCAGGCTTTTGAGATCCTACTCCTCATACAGGGTCACCTTGCCCAGTCTTAATATAAGGGGAGGTGCTGAGTCTCACTGCAACTTGATATACCATGTTCTGTTGATACTCATGGGAGACTTGCCCTTTCCCAGACAGAAAGAGAGAAGTGGATTGGGGTGGGTGGGAACAGAGGGGGGGATGGCGAGAGGGACTGGGAAGGGAGGGGGGACGGTAAACTGCGACCAGGATGTAAAGTAAATGAATGAATTAAAAAAAAGAATTACTTTACTATCTCCTACAATCTCCTTTCTCACCCAAACTGCTTTGGAAGCGTTCAATAAGTCTTGTCATTTTAAAGTTCTTTCTGAAACGAGTATTAAGACAAAACTGATTTTCTCACGCTTCTGTCTAACTAGTTAGGTAAGTCTCCCTAGTCCAGCTTTTGTCTGACAGATGTTTGGGGGGTAGATATGGGTCAAAGGTCATTTGTTTTTCTCAAGATTCAATCCTTCGAGTTATTTCCAAGTCAAGGGTGTTCAAAATTCTGGTCACTTAGTGTGCTCTATCCTAACGTGGAGAGCCTTTGGTGGCAACGTGGGCCTCAGACTTCAACACGGAGCATTGAGCCAGACATGGTCCTTAGCTAAAGCATGGGCTTGGATGTCACCATTGCTCCAAGCGGCAGCACTGGTCAGTCAGATCAGCGTGGCCCCAGTGTGGTAGTGTTGTCTTTGAACACCAGCATGGCCCCAGGTGGTAGCCCCGACTTTGGACATTCACTGGGCCTTAATGGTAACAAAAGCCATGGACATCAACATGGACTCTGGCTGCACCAAGGCCATGGACCTACACATGCCCCTCAGCTGAAGCTCTGGCCCCAATGTTGCCGTGGCACCATGTGGCAGCCCAGGCCACTTGGATTGGTATGGCATGACCCTTGGACACCTACATGGCTGCAGGTGCATTCCAGACACTGGGCATCCTTGTGGCTTTGGTGGATCACAGACCCTGACTACAGTAGGACCACAGACCCAGACATGGCCCTTGGCAACAGACTGGGCTTGGACATCACCATGGCTTCAGGTGGTAAGCAGGCTGCCAATATCAGCCTGTTCCTCACCACCCTCTCTTCTTCAGTTCTGCCTCTTTCCACAGCACATGGACCTTTCCGCTTCTCTTTCTCTCCCGTTTCTCCACCACACAATGGCATCCACTCACCGTGGATGTCTTCCCGACAGCCCAGGCCTTGAGGACCCAGGCTGCCTGTGGGTGGCTTCCACCCACTTGAGTGGAATTAGTATGATAATATTAAGGTGTCCTTGAGTTTTATTGAATTGTTGTGCCTGTTTGTCAGAGAAATTAGCTTATACTTTTCTTCTTTTGTCATGTCCTTATCTTGTTTTGGCATTTGGTCAGTAGAGTGGTTTTAATCTTCCTATTTTTCTGACCCTTTGATACAAGTTGCTCATGGTGTGGTAACCCCCCTAAAATTATTTTCACTGCTGCTTCATAACTGTAATTTTGCTACTTTTATGAATTGTAATGTAACTATCTGATATGCAGGATGACTGTGAAAGTGTCATCCAACCTCCCCCCCCTCCGCCCCAGACCCACAGGTTGAGAACCACTCCGTTAGGGGAATGCTGGCTTTTATAGAAATAGTTTGGTTGTGTTTCTTTCCTTTATCTTTTTTTAAAAAAAGATTTATTTTATGCATATGAGTGTTTGCCTACACAAATATAAATGTACCATGCATGCATGCCTGGTGCACATGGAAGTCAGAAGATGGCATCTGACCTATAGTTATGGAGTTATGGAGTTGAGAGCCAACATGTGGATGCTGGGATCTGAACTGAGGCCCTTTGCTGTTTCCCCCCACCCCCTTATCTCTCTCTCTCTCTCTCTCTCTTTCTTTCTTTCCCTCCCCCCCCCCAGTTTCTCCCCCCTCCAACTCTGTGTTTTCTTGGCTGACTTCTCAGTGAGATGCCTGTCAAAAGATGAGCGTAGGGTATTGAAATCGCTCACTATTGTTATTGATAGTATCCGACCTCTTATGTCTGTTAGTATTTGCATAATGAAATTGGGAGCACTAAATAGTACTATATGTACAATTGCTATAACTTCTTGATGAACTGTTCCCTTTATTACTACGTAGTGGCATTCTTTATTCTTCTAACAAATTTTAGGTTGAACTCCAGTTTCATAGTTTTTTGAATGGTCTCATGTGCCCAGGATGGCTTAGAACTCCCACTGTAGCTGAGGGTGACCTTGAACCTCTGGTTCTCCTATTTCCCTAGTGCTGGGATTATAGACACCCATCATGACGCCTGATCCATGCAATACTCGGGAGTGAACCCAGTGCCTTGTGCATGCTGGGCAAACATTATAAGCCCACTTAGCTGAATCCTCATCCCTGACGCCTAGTTTTTATCAGATACCAGAATAGCTCTGGCAGCTTGCTTTCCAGTTCTGCTCACTTGACGGATTGTTTTCCATTCGTTGACTGTGTCTGTGGATATTTTTACCAGTGAGTTGTGTTTCTTGGAGACAACAGATGGTTGGATCCTGGTTTTTCATCCAGTCAACCAATCTGTGTCTCTTTTTTGTTGACTTGAGGTCGTTTACATTGAAAGTTATTAATAGCAGTGTTTCTTGATTTCTGTTCTTCAGTTGGTTGGATTATTGTTTTTCCATCCTTCCCTGTTTATATAAAAACTTTGCTGGTTCACTGTGGTGGACATGTTGGATTCCTTCCTAGCTCTCCTTGGTTGATCTATTCCTCTCATGAAGTTTATTCTTTCTTGTGTTCTTGTGATAGTGAATTTGTTTTCCTCTATTTTTTTTAACGATGCTGGACTACCTTGGTGAGGTTTGTCTTGGAATGTCCTTATTATTCTGTAAGCTTTTAAAGATAGCTTTGCTGGCATTAGCAATCTTGATTGGCAGTTATTCATTTTCAGTTCTTGAAATCTATCATTCCCGGCTTCCCTGGATTTAAGTATTGCCGACGAGAGACCTGGTATATTATGGACATGTCTGCCTTTGTAGGTCAGTTGGCATTCCTCCTGGGGAGCTTTCCATCTGGCTTCCTTGTTTCGGAGTTTAGATGCCATGACTCTATGACGGGGAGATGTTCTCAGGTCAAGCTTC